CGTTGAGTTTGTGCGCGATCGAGTACCGGATACAATGAGGTAGCTGTCAGCGTCCGCAGACCTTGTCTCTCCTCCTATGTTTTCTTTCTTTCCTGTATTAATACTTAGACACTGTTTTTATTAGACTGGATATCTCGATGCTCATGACTTGGTGACACCCCGATGCTTGGGGCTATCTTTCTGCATTTTATTTTGAATTCAACTCCGGTTTCTGTAAAAATTTCTAGTATGAAAAAGCTTTGAATTATCCTTTTTATGAAATATTGAATATTTTGAAAGGTCGGCTTGCCTAGTACCATCGATAGGCGCCATCACGACAGGTTAGAGTGTTGGGTCATGACAGCATGATAAAGACACAAACGTTACCTCAACTGACACCTCTTAGGTGCCCAACACCTCTCCGAAGTACAATAATATTGCGCACACAGTCCAACATAACATGTGTAATTACATGACTTCGGAGATCCATACCTAATTCATGCGCCCGAACATCATAGCTCCATGATCAATCATCATTATCTCAGAAATCACTCATCAAGCCCCACAGAATGTGCCATAATCACAATAACCACACAGAATGACCTATCATACCAACCTCAGTCCATAACAAAGTATCATATGCAAGGATATATATATGCATATGAACAAGAGGTAAGTATGTGATGCATATGGACAGAGAAATCAATATGTAGGGATGTATGCATACATCCAAGTATGACTACGCCTACAACATGTAATCCAAGATACAAAATATCATGACCCCAAAAATCCACCGCAGGCATCGTGATGGAACCTAGTCTCTAAGACTAGGTAAGCTGATTACTAACGATCAGAAAATTTTTTAATGATGATAATTTGAAACAGAGTCTAATATGAATACCGAAACAAAAGCGTAATAAGCCTACACAGCAATAATCATAACAACCTCCCAAGATTTGGTAATACGGAGTCACAAACTCTAGATAAGTATATGGAAAGATCTCAAAGAACGAAATACAATACTCTTCAAATAATAAGCTGACAGTACAATGAAAGAAAAAAACTCCAAGGGACTGCGACGACCAAGCAGCTCTACCTTGAATCCCCGCGGCCAATATGCTAACTCTGCCCGAATCCGATATCTCTAATACCTGGCTCTGCACAAAAATGTGCAAAAGTATAGTAGTACACCACGGTCGATACCCAGTAAGTATCAAGACTAACCTCGGTAGAGTAGTGACGAGGTACAAGTCAAAACACTCACTAAACAAAATAACATGTGCAGTATAGAAGTATAAAGCTAATAATGAAAGTAGAAATCAGTAAATGGCAACAAGAATCAACAAGTGATATAAACAGTAAAGCAATAAGAACACCGTGAAGTATCGTTAAAACCAAATAAGGAACACAAAGGACAACCAATTAATCAAGCTGTTCTAACACAAGTTTCACAACGAAATCATTCTGTGATACCTCATCTCATAATCACAAGTAACGGGTCTCAACCCACCATCTTATGCTCACGGTACCTTGTGCCCACATTTCAAATCACAACCGCACAAACAACTCACATGCCAACATCTCAATCTGCCTGACATGATCATGGGCTCACATTCACAATCCGCCCGGTGTGGTCACATGCTCACAATTAAAATCCACCCAGCCTGGTCACAGGCTCACAATCACAATTCATCCGGCATAATCACAGTCTCATAATCACGATCTGCCCAGCGTAGTCACAGGCTCAATATCAACATGAAAATCGATAATACAAGAACACATGGACATGATTAATAAATGTCAAGCTTCATACTCCTGAGCTAGTATAAGTGGCATGTTACGGTGTATGCTTGTGCGAGTGTACTACTGTAGCCCAAGTCAACAAGTAATATCAAAGACATCGAGTAGCTCATCGAAGCAACACATCAAATCACGTAAGGTGTATGACATACACAAGGAAAAGCCCAATATCACACGAAAATTACTAACACAATGTCCCCAAGCCATCACATATCATCCCTGACATTGCCACCCTTATCTCTCTGATAGCCACCCATATCACTCCGCCCTGACAATATCATTAGCCACATGTATCACTCCGATAGTGTCACGTGTAGTCGGAAATTAACTCACATGATTATTTCTATTCTGTGTCATAGAAAAACAGTAATCCTGTTGTAATTATTGCCACATACATGACATGAGGAAAAGAAATATTATTTAAATTGTATTTTTATTATTTATATGAAAGGGTCGGATGAGCCAAGATTTATAAAGATTAAAGGAAAAGGACCAAAAATGTTCCTAAACTATGAGAAATAGAGAAAATTTGTTCTTATTTTGGATTGGTACATATTTGTACCTCAACTATGAAAATATAACAAATTTGCCCTCCGTTTGATTTTTGTCCCAAATATGCCCTTATCATGGACTGGCTCATATTTGGCCCTCCAAAATTAATGAGCATCGAACTTCTTGTTTTTACCCATTTAAAATATTTTTTTTATTAAGATGAAGTGCCACCTTGCAAGATTAACTATGGAATGATATTTAAAGTTACTTGATTGTGGTGAGTCCTGATCTCTTTGAAGCTCCTTTTTTAGAGCTCGGATTTTTCTTCTTATTTTATCACTTGATATCTTCCTCTTTTTTTGTTTACTTACTCGAATCCAGTATTTTACGCTAAACTTAACAGTTTAACTTTACAAGTTTAATTATTAAAGTAAAAAATATTTATTCAATAATCATTGTTTAGTGATAAAGGTTATATGAAAGACACTTGTTTCATATTTACATTTGGGGTAAAGACCAAGTGCAAATAAGTTTTGCATGCCCTGGTTTCAATCCTTCCTTTTTAATATACTCCCTCGGTTCCAGTTTATGTGAATTTTTTTACCTTGTTTGTCTGTTCCAAAAAGAATGACTCATTTCTAAAATTTGAAACAATTTAGCTTAAACTTCCAATTCTACCCTTAATGAGAAGCTTTTATAACCACACAAATACTCTGAACCCCTTTTTGACTTGTATTTGTGTCATATCATATCATCATCATATCATATATTATACTAAAAGTAGGAAGCTCCTAATGTCAAAATTGAATTACTAAAATTCCCATAAAAATTGAATGACTATTTTATCCTCAATCAAATGCTATATCTACAATATTTTTGTACAATAATATAATTATACATTTTAACAAATTTATTAAGCTACTTACATCTTTTCATATACAATGTATATGAACATGGAAACTACAAATTATTAAAGAATTACGTGGGTAAACATTAATTATACTTGCAACCTTGAATGGGATATAAGTACTTATTTATTGTAATTATTGATGCTAAGTCATATAAAAAGTCATTTAAATCAATGAGGAAACAAAAGGCTGAGAGCTGTAATACCCTTAGAAAAATAAATATATTACCTCATTCATGAAATGGTACATTAACCAATATTTTCTTTGTTGTTATACAAAATTAAATTTGGATCACTTGAGGAGTTGCCTTAAATAATTAATGCACAAAATTTATTTAATTAATTCAATAAATGGACTATTCATTTACTAAATGCCGATACATAATAAAAATCCGAAGACGAATCTCTTATCTGGACGTTTAGAGAGCTTTATACACAATGGTTTTGAGAATTTCTCTTCCTCATTACCTTTCTCCCATTCAATTCCCTTTAAGTTCTAACATAAAGTGTAAGTTACAATTGTGTAACTTATAAATTGTCTTTCATCTCCTATTTAAGATCGATCTTCCCAAAATTCTTTTACATAAATCTTCCGCATCTCCTATCGAGCTTTAATTGTCTTTCATCTCCTATTTAAGTTCTAACATAATTCTTTTACATAAATCTTTGATGATTGCCTGAAAAGAGAAGTTAAGATGGCATTGGCAGCAAAATTAGTGTCCACTGAATCGGTATGACTGCATAAACTTCTTTTCTCCCAGTCTTAGAAAGATGACATATGACGCCGACCAAGCCTTGGATTAGAATGATAAGAATTGGTATTGAGGTTTTGATTACTATTAGATTCATTTTCTTATGTAAATTAAGTACTCTTCAATTGTAGGTTATGGTGGTTTGATATGTAATGTACTAGCTTTTTGGAACTACTCCTACAATTTTGTTGCTAAAAGAAGTGTTAATTCCCTTTACACTTTAATGTCTTTATTTGTACTATACTTCTCGTGAACACTCAGTTGGCTTTTGGATTTTGAGTGTTCGAGGCTATTTTTTACTTTCAAAACTTTGGTACAACTTATATTTTATCATTTAATCCGATATACATGAATAAATACAAACATAATTCTTGCATTATTTAAAAATTATAATTATGTGAAGACAAATATTATATATTCATTTGATTTATATAAATACCAGGCCTTAAATCAACTTCATTTGGCACTATTGGAGAACCCTATATATTTCAATTCTGATATATGGATAGAAATTGTATGGAATATGAAAATAGTATTGTGGTTATTTTAGCTTATTTACCCATGATGTGTCAAAATATTTGCATATTCAATTTCATTCTTGAGAAAGAATATGCTGTTTGAAATATTCACAAACTACTTTCATTTTAAACCGCCTTTAAATAACATATACGGAAAATTTTAATTTATCTTATGGTTGAAAATTATATTAGAGATAGAGTTGGTCCCAGAGTACGACCTCTAACTTCATCATAAGAGGTATTAATGATATGCAACAAATATTGTTTAGCTTTTTAAATATTTTAGTTTCTAATTAATATTTCAATCAAATTCTTTTTAACTATTTTTAAATATGTATTATATAAAATTAATATGGGATACACGTGCAACGCACGTGTCCAGAAACTAGTCTACCTAAACATGTGGATGCGGAGGCTCTTATCCCCTACAAGCATGAAAGTAAATAGAACCAAAAAGTTACTAAAATTGAAGCAGTGAGACATGTGCTCCTCCATTTTTCTTTTTTCGTTCTTCATAATGAGCCTAACCTCCTTAAATCAAGCTAAGAGACATAAGCAAAGATGGTCTGCTTAAATTGTTTTCATTATCTGGTTAGAGAGAACATTATACAAGGAGATGCCTGTTATTTTGTACACCTAAATTTTTGTAATATAATTAAAATGATAGACGCCTCTTTCACCTTCTCCTACAATCAAAAGAAAAAGAGAACAAAAACTTAGATGATGACAACCTAGGCCTAATTGGAGAAGGAACCAGACGCCGTGACAAACCTACAAGTCATATGCAATCTTCTGAATCTTCCCAAGATAACACGTTTCTGCAGAAGATTTGAGCATAAGCTAGTCATCATCTTCTGAATCTGCATTAAAAAAGAAACACATCACCAGCAGTTTAAAAGTATCTTCAAGTCCTCCATTGCAATGGAGAATATGACAAAACCGGGTCAGAGCATATAATCAGTTTCCGTATCCCCTTCAATTGCACCAAAAAAAGAAACAATAAAGAAGGAACAAAAAAGAGAGATAATACAATTTTAAATTTTTCCTGGGCCGGAGGCAGTTCAAAAGACATCTCGAGGGTTGGTTTTGCAACTACCAAAGAAGTAGAGAGATGAGTTTCACAGAAGTTTAAGACAAGCTCATGTCAGGAAACAGACTACTAATCTAGAGAAAAGAGGCATAAGGCCTATTTAAAATCTTTTGCAAACAATAGTCCATTTTCCAATGCTAGATAGCAATACACCATTCAATAAAAGAACTTCCAAAAAAATGGATTCATCTTAACAGTCAGCTGTATAGGACATGAGCATCCAATTTTCGAATATTAAAATAGAAACGAGTCAGTACGTTAATTGCTACAATATCTCATTCATCCAATAACGTATAGGATAAATTCTGATTCAGTTTCAGCTATTTGAGAAAATGTCTAGCAGGGCGCAAGACATTTGGATTGCCAATCTTCATGTTTTTTCTAAATTGCTCTCCACATTTTTTCTTTTGAATAGGAGAAAAGGAAAAACAAAGGTTAATCACATACGTACAACAGTTTCAGCACCAGTTCAATAACATAAGATAGCTGTAGTTTTCCTCAACTTCACTACAAAGATGCTCACCAGATCTAATATCTTCCCCAACTTTTCCTCTATTTTTCAACTGCCTCGTGATCATTGAACATATTAGAATCCACCAATACAAGTGGAACACAAGTAGAGTCAAGAGCATTGTGTTGAAGACATAGTATACCGTTGTATCATAGGCCTCAGACAGCCTCAAGACCTCACATAAATAGTAGCTGGGTAATGAAATACATCGAAGCCATTAGGAAAACTCAGAAAAAGAAGGGAGATAAATTATGAGTTCAAAATCTGGTAAAGGCCAAACCTTGAGGATTGTATGACCCAAAATGGAAAGAAAACCAGCCTAAGTACAAACCAAGAGATGGCAAAAAGACCAAAGAATAAGCTAGCTCCAAGCTCCTTCTCTGAGTACTTAAACACTTTAGCAGCTTCAAGAAAGACGTCACTGGCATCGTGCAATGCAAGAATAACAATCCCAATTCTAAAGAAGCTGTGAATTTGGAACACAAAAAAAATTAACATACCAACTGCTAAAGATAAAACTACTCCATTCTTCAAATCAGAAGGCAGTATCTTGAATATGCTTCATTTGCTAATTTATCTCCTGGATGCTTGTTAAATTATTTTTGGTAACCAAGAAATCCCCGAGGCCAATGGCGCAAGGTTCAAAACTCGGTGACAAACAGTCATGACACAATCATGACTCTTTTATGGTATTTCACTGCGAAATAAGAAGGAAAAGAGAGGTCCTCATAAGAAAAAATAAGAAAAAAAGGTACCATTAAGATAATGCAGTTAAGAAGTAATGACCTTCAACTCACTTTGTAGCTTATCCTTAGTAGCCACGAAGGGTGAACTTGTTCTTAAAAATCATTGACCAAAATATCTGCAAGTTAACTAAAGCAGCCCTAGAAATGAATGGATTCACGTCAAATTAACTTGAAGATCACTCTGTGAAATGTTTCGCAAAAGGTGAATTCAAGTATCCAAGCAACAGATTTTCCACAATTCATCCTACAATGACGTTCAAAAAGTTGCATTTACAGTGATTGCTGCTAGGACTTCACCTACTTTTGAAATAGGGAAAAGGGTCTGATTTACCCTTCTACTTTGATAAATAGTATACTTTTAACCTCCGTTATACTATTGGTCCATTTAAAGCCTTATCGTTAGCAAAGTAGAAACAATTGCCCCTATTTTTAACGGAAGTCCACTGTGGCAAGAATTCTTGTTTCAAACTCTACATGTGTCATCTTTTGATTGGATGATATATAATTAATTATATTAGTTATCACTTCTGAATATTCTTATTTCATTCCAGAATTTTCTTCTTTTTCTCGTCCTTCCTCTTCTTTCTTTTCTAATTTTCAGGCCGCTGCTATCTCCCCTTCCACGCCATCTTTGCTTTGCTTCTTCTCTGTCTTTTATTTCTTTCTTATATATAGAGAGAGATTTGTTGGTGAATTTGATACTAAACGGAATGAAGGAAAAGAAAGGAAAATGGAGTAGGTTAAAAGTTGAGGAAACCTTTTGGTTGTTCGGAAAGCTTAGGTTCGTCAGCCACCATTTTTTCCGGCCAGATTTCAACTTTTGAGCAGAGTTTTTCTTTTCATCTTCATAAGAAAGAAGGCTTCCAAATAAAAAAAGAACCACTAGATTTGAAGTATCCAACAACATTCATTAACACCCAACTGAAGTATCTAGCAAAATGTATTATTAGTTCAATCTCTTACCAAAAGTTTAATTTTGCAGCAGTTGCCATTAAATGCGAGCCCCAAAATTCAGTTTCAAGAACCACCAAACTCAATGGTACTTTTGACATCAAAGTTTAAACTAAAGATTTTCTCTTTGGTTGCCTTCTCCAGTGGTTTCTTGGTTATATGGAAAAGAAATGAAGAAAATATGATTTGTTTCTGGCTAGATAGAGGGATGAGTTGGGTGGGTTCTAGTGTTGATTAAGATTATGGTTATTGATGGCTTTTACGTTAATTAGGTATTAATGGGTAAAAATTATCAGCAATGAAAGGAAAATACTCTGAATAAGAAAGAGCAAGAAAGAGAATAAGGAAAAAGTAAAATTTGGTGAGGTGGCATGCCAGACGGCGTCCACCTCACCCAAAATGTCAGGCCACATTGGATTTTAATAACTGGGCCCTTGCCATGGTGGACTCCCACTAAAAATAGGGGCAATTGTTTCTACTTTGCTAACGGTAAGGCTTTAAATGGACCAATAGTATAACGGAGGTTAAAAGTATACTATTTATCAAAGTAAAGGGGTAAATCAGACCCTTTTCCCGTTGAAATATGCATAGAATCTATGACACGAGTCAGTTTAGGCATTCTATCAACAGAATTAGTGAAGACCAATTGGCTTTAAGAAATTTTCCATATAACACCTTAACTTATAGCCTGTTTGGCCAAGTTTTTTTTGGGAAAAAAAAGTGTTTTTGGCCAGAAGCAGAAGCAGTTTTGAAGAAGCAGAAAAAAGTAGCTTCTCCCCAGAAGCAGAAGTAGTTTTGACTTTTCTTCCTACCAAAAATACCCTTTGCAAAATATTATATATACCAAAATAACCTTACTTAGTTTAAACTATTAAGTAATATAAAATGACTTTTGGGATGAACTTTCATATTTATTGAATGATTTTTTGATATATTTAAATTATCTTGAAAGAATAAAGTACTTTTCAATTTTATTTTTATATTTTACTTAAATAAAATAAAAAACTTAATTATTATCTTAAATAATAAATATTTATAATTATTTATCTACTTATATAATATTAACTATTAAGCAAATCTTTTCATGTCTTTATTTGTAATTTGACACTTAAAAGCACTTTTTGAAAAGTTTGGCCAAACACAAATTATTGTTCAAAGTGCTTTTCAAATTGATTAGCGAAACACAAACTGCTTTTCTCCAAAAGTACTTTTTCGAAAAGCACTTTTGAAAAAAACACTTCTCAAAATAAGGCGATTTTTCCAGCTTGGCCAAACAGGCTATTAGTACGATTGACTTGTACACAATAACTAGACGACCTCAAACATAAAACTAGTCAGAGTTGATTATATGATCAAAATGCTATAAATGTTAACTATCTCCAAATTCAAAGGAGTTCATTCAATTTCACTACCAGCCCAACAAGAATCTCAAACAGGACATAGATAAAATACAACGAGAGTAACCTAAGTTTTTTTTTCTTAGGTCAACCCAACAAAATCTGATAAATAAGATTGAGCGCCTTAGGTTGAAGATCTGCTAAGAATGACATTGCATTTCCTAGCGAATTCAAATATTGTTGTTTCAAAAACTTACGTAACGTTCGAGAGGAATAATAATTAAACTCCTGTGCTCTTGGACAGTTAAACCAGACAGTTAACTCATGACAACAACTTTTAGGTTGACAATATGCTCTAGCTTGGACGGTTCCTTTCATCGTGCACCTTTATTTATTTTGATTATGCACCAGACATGTAATGCAAAAGGAAAGCAAACAAGAAATAAAACTGTGTTTATAATACTGTGGTACCAGCTATATATGGCCTTAACTTTTCTGGATACTTCTCTCAAGAACAGAATGTTTTTGAAGATGTGAAATCTCAACAAAAGCACCATAATTAATTTTTTTCTTAAGGATGCTTAGCCATAATCATGGCTAACGAATAAAATTAAACCTAAAGCAAAAATTATTTGTCCAAACATGTTAATTTTCTGCCCTACTCTGCTTGTCACAAACATTCTTCAGGAGTCAGCCTCCTTCAAAAGATCAAGTTTTCAGCATAGAGAATTTGCTAATCTACAAGAATGATAAGATAATTTTGATCCTAAATCCTAAAGTAGATGAACCTCAAGCAAAGTCTTAATAGATACCATAGAAGATAATTAGTTAGATAAAGTCATGAAAGAGATTATCACATGTTAAGAAAATATATAATCAGAAAAGGAACCAGGACAGAGGGAGAGGGTGTGGCCCAGTATAAAGCCAAGTTATCTTAATAATTTGCCCAGTTTCGTGAAATCAACAGATTAAGTGCAAGGAGAGGATAATTGACTTTGGAAATTTGACACATTTCTTCACTATGGTAGATGAATTAAAAATGGACCCCAAAGACTAATTATTATCTGATAATCCGACCGCGAATTTATTGCAATTGCATTCCTCTGATACTGCATTTACAAATAAATGGAAAACTACTTTGTACTTTATAAGTTGTTTATTATATTTTCTTGATAAAGTTATTAGTTGTATATATATATATATATATATATATATATATATATAAATGATCATGTCCGATTACAAATGATTAATATTATTTCTTTAATTGTTAACATAGATATGATTAATGTTATTCATATGAATATGCACAACAACATACTGCCAATATTCAGATATATGATTGTTCATTAGATGTTCAATCTTTTTGTTTCATTCTACTTTCTCTATTTGCTCAAAGTATCAAATCCACTTTCACCTTGCACTCTAACGCGACCTTCGAAAGAAAACAAAAGCAGAGACACAATTTCTTGAAACATGTCCAAACAACCCCGTGGTCAGTGGTTGACTAACATGATAACAAATAACTCAGACCTAAACACATTCCCACTTCCTATATGTACTTCATCCAACATACATAGAGGGAACTTCTAAAACTGTCACTTCATACTAGACAAAATCTCATCCTATTATGTCAAGGTCAGTATCTATAAATCCCAAAACAGAAAAGAAAAAAGTGATAAAAAGGTACAAACCTCTAATGAAGTAAGGTTACCTTGAAATGTACGAGTATGATATCAGAATAACTGTGACTATGTGATGAGACATCATCACAGAGAAGTCTTTCCTTCGTGTTTCCCAAACGAGGAGGGCAGCAATGCTATAGAGGTAGAACCCACATTGGCACATATAGATAAGTTTTATTCCAACCCTACAATGTCAATAAGAAAACACATAAACTATGTTAGACTATCAAACTCTTGGGAAGAACCAGGATGGTTTCTATATTCACACGGCAGAAGAAGATACATCTACATAACAGACAGACAGCTGTTAACACGATGACACTTGCAGAAAGATACTGAATAGAGGTGACTTATTATGGCTTACAAAGATAAGAAGGAAAGACACAAGGAGATAGCTAAGGAATGGAGCAGGTCTGCAGTTACACCTATCCAGTGAAATTTTTTCATGTATATCTTGATTGCAAAAGGTGAAAGAAAAAAATGGTGCATTAAGTGTCACTTGAGGGAAAAATGTTTAACCAAAACAAATAAAAATGATTAAAAATAAGAGAGAAGAGTTGAAGGAGATGAAGAGGTAAGCGCCAAGATAACAAGAGGAGGAAAAGAATCGATTTTGTGAAAAGGAGAGATTTGAAAAATTGCCAGTCTCCCGGACCAAGGGCTATAGAAAGAAAGAGCCTTGTTGAAGAATAATGGAGGCACATGGTTTTCTATGAGAACAAAAGTAGGGGTAACTATTTCTGTTTCTTCATTTTGTAAGGATTAGACACAACTCTTTTTCGCTTGGTCTTTCGGATGGTTGCAGGTAAGGAACTTTTTACTTTTGTGCTCTTTCTTATTATATAAATAACTGGAGCAATTGGATGCTTGCAAATGGAATCTACAAGTACTAAACAGGACATAAATTGAGAATTCAGTAATAAAGTATCGACAATGGACAAAGAGTTCTGTGTAGATGGACATGTGCATTTATTTGCGACATGCGGGAGAGAAATCTTGTCACCATGCAACTTTTCTGGTGAGAAGGAGTTCTATCAAAGTTATTGTTGCTATCCGTGAGTGTTGTGCATCAACAAGCACTACCAAGAGGATCAGAACTCTCTGGCGACCAAACCCCAGAAAGCCCCAGAATTTTCAGCAAGTTTATCACACGCGCAAGTGCATGTGGAGTTTCGCGGCAACCTTCTGGCGAGATCTTATCACCTGTGGGCCGCCTCTCCATTTTAAATCAACCCATCGAACTTTCCCGACATTCCAACCATCATCGGAGGCCACCTGTCAGATTTTCGTGCAGAGCTTTTCTTGTTACTGCTTTCCACTCTTACACATATTTTCGGAGTTCTGGGAGTTGATTCAAGCAGAAAGAGCCATCACTGTTTCTCAGACATTCCGATGAGTTTTTCCGCGATCACAATATTCACATATGTCATTTCCGTCAATCAGAATATTCCAAAATATTATGGTGATACTGTTGAGTATTGACCTTCTTTGGAGGCTATTTTCATAAATTGCGGCTACTTGTCCAATTATGCATTGGGATTTAAAAATATTAGTTATACAAAATGGATTCAGGTAATTCAAACGGTCGGATGACTTCCTTATCCAATTAAAATCAGTTTCTTAAGAACAAAGATACACGTAATCAAGCATCTTCGCATGTTGCATCCGTTCAAACTAGTAATTTTGTAGCTTATGTTTCCCTGTGCTCTAACCCAAGAGCCTCAAATCATATTTCAGGCAATAAATCTCTTTTCTCTTCTATTTCATATTCTCAATCTCTTCCAACTGTTACATTGGGCGATGGAACCAAAACCATGGCAACTGGAGTAAGTCAAGCTATGCTACTGCTCTCTTTAACTTAAATTCAGTCCTTCATCTTCATGGTTGTTCCTTCAATCTAATATATGTTAGTCTTTTTCCTCAGTCATTTAATTGTTTATTTACCTCTCTCGATAACTCTGTTATCATACAAGATTACAGCATATAACGGATAATAGATATCGGACGTGAATCACATGGACTTTACTACCTCAACCTTCCAAGATCACCACAGCTTCTCATGTTACCGACTTACTTGGGTTACTTCATAGACAATTTGGAAATTCCAATTTATTTTAAATTTCAAAACATGGTAACTAGTTTGTCTCACCTATCTACCTTAAATTTTTCGTCTAGTCAACTTCGTAAGCATAATCATCCTTCCTTTGCTCACCATTCTGATTATCATGAAGAATCTCCTTTCTCTTTGGTCCATTCCGATGTCTGAGGTCCTAGTTGAGTTAGCTCTACTTTGGAGTTACGTTACTTCGTTAGTTTCATTGACAATTACTCAAGGTATACGTAGATTCTAATGAAGGATCATTTTATGTTGTTTTCTACTTTTCAAACTTTTTCCGCTCAATTTGAGATTTCTATTCGCACTTTTCTTAATGACAATGCACTAGAATATTTATCCTCTCACTTTCAACAGTTTATAAACTCTAGTTTGATTGTTAATCGAACATCTAGTTCTCATACCTCTCAATAAAATAGAGCAGCTGAGAGGAAGAATAGACATCTCATTCAGACCACTCGCACTATACATATATGACTATTACATGTTTCATTGCGTTTTTGGGATAATGCGGTTCACACCGCATGTTATTTGATTAATCGCATGTCTTCCTCAGTTATTCAGGATCAAGTTCCACACACTATCTGATTCATATGTTCATTTTTGTATTCTCTTCCTTTGGAAGAACTTGTTTTGTTCATAATCTAACCCCTGGAAGAAATAAATTAACCCCTCATGCTCTCAAGTGTGTATTGTTCACGATTATTTTCGAGTTCAAAAAGCTTTTGCTACTCATCCGACCTTCGTCAATACTTTTGTCAGCTAATGTCACCTTCCTTGCAACTCAACCTTATTTCACACCTTTTAGTTCTTCTGACCATCTTGACGTCTATGTAGTTTTACTGGGAGATCCAATAAGTCCTCATTCTCCCATCATCTCCCACGACACCACCACTTATTACTTATCATTATCACTAGCACGTCAAGTCTAGATAATTCATGCCCTATACCGGATCCTTTATCTGTTGCTGATTAGTCTCCCAACACATAGTCTTGATTCACGCCCTGCACCAAATCCTTCGCCTACTATGGACCTGCCTCGCACACATAGTCCACCAATGGCCATCCAGAAAGGTACTCGCCAATCCTAATCCCATGTATATTATTGAGTTATCGTCGGTTAATATCACATCATTATACTTTTGCGTCATCTTTGTCCTCTATTTCTATTCCTAAGACTAAGCACCTTCTTATCCAGGTTGGCAAATACAGGAGCGAAACAATCAACCTATTGATATTGGAAGACCCAACGGATTCTTCCAATGTATCATTTCTGGGTCCAATGGAATAATGTTATGATCATGCTCGCAACAGGCAAAGATTGATGAGTATATACAGTCAAGGTTGGTCCAGATGGTCAAATTGATCGTCTTAAGCTTGTGTTGTTGCTAAAGGCTATACTTTAATATTTAAATTGATTATCGAAATACTTTCTCTCCACCGACTAAAATAGCATATATTCGTCATTTTCTATTAATGCCCACTATTGCCATTTGCCTCTTCATTAGTTAGACATTAAGAATGCTTTTCTTCACACTAATCTTAAGGATGAAGCATATATCGAGCAACCATCAAGTTTTATAGCTTAGGAGAGCTTAAAGATCTTATATGTTGGTTACATTGATATATTGTCTAAAGCAATCACCTAGAGCATGGTCTGATAAGTTCAACTACAATTGTTTAGGAGTTCAGTATGACTCATATTGAGGCTAATCATCCTATGTTCTATCGGCATTCTTCCCCAAATCTATGCAATTATTTGGTGATTTATGTTGATGACATGCACAAACAATGATCAAGAGGGTATTGCTAAGCTGAAACAACACCTTTTTCAATACATACAAACCAAGCATCTAGGCAGACTATTATTCTTTTAGGTATTGAGGTTCCGGAATCCACATCAAGTATTGACATGTCGTAGCGGAAGTATCCTCTTGACATTCTTGGGAAAACAAGGATGACAAATTATAGGCCTATTAATACTCTCATGGATCTGATGTCACAAGCTTATAGTAGGTTAGGGAGAGCTTCTTAGTGATCCTGGAATATAGGCAGCTTGTTGAAATTGAATTATCTCATAGTGACCACTTGATATTGCCTTTTTGGTGAGCATTGTAATTCAATTTTTGGACTCTCCATGTGGTACCCCGTTGGGCCTTCATTACATAAAATCTGCTCCATGGAAAGGATTGCTCCATGAGGATAGAGGGCATAATCATATCATTGGCAATATAGATGTAGATTGGGTAGGATCACTTTTGAATGCAAGCTCCCCCTTTGCATATTGTGTTCGGCTTTGAGGTAACTTGGTGTCTCGAAAGAGCAAGAAGCAAAATATGGTTGCTAGGTCTAGTATTCTATTGCGAAAGAAAAATACCGAGCCATGACTGTAGCAAATTGTGAACTTGTATGAATCAAGCAACTATTTAGAGAAATGAAGTTTGAAGAGATCGGTTGTGATGAAACTTGTGTATGATAGTCAAAGAACACTTCATATTGCATCAAATCCGGGGTTTCACGCAAGGGCCAAGTACATAGAATTGATTGTCACTTTGCATAGAAAAGATACTCTCAATAGACATTAGAAGTCCGTAAAATTTGATCAATTAGAAAATATATTCACCAAGTTTCGTGCCCAAATTAGTGACAATGTGTAACAAGCTCGGGACATACGATTTGTGGTGCATCAACTTGATGAGGAGTCTTAAGAATGTTTCGACATTAACAAAAATATTTATAGAATCAGTAGGAATCAATTAGGAATATTCTTTTCTGTAATTTTGTAACCTTCATGTTCTTTTCTACTTTAGGTTAGGTGTACATCACTATTTAAACGCCACAAAGCTAGGGGGTATAATCAGGCTAAGCTTTCTCTCAATATGCTTTCTCGTGTTCTTTATTTCTCACATGGTACCAGAAAGGCAGAAGTCTTGGGTTCAAATCTCACCGCCACCCAAAAATATTTTTATATGTTTGGTCACGAAAAAGAATAGAATCAAGCCCACACGTGATGGGGTGTACTGAGACATACTATAATATTAAAAATGTGTCTCTAAGAGTTTAAACTTTAAGACGAAGCAAGATGACAACTTCAACATTTAACAAGACAAAAGTATTTCATTTCATAGATCACCATGTCCTAATCATCCCGCTTGAACTTTCAACAAATCAGCCCAGTTATTGAAAAAACTGTAGGTCCAGGTTATAGCACTGTGATTAACCCAATTAAAAAGCAACAACCAGTGCCACTCCTATCCGCAAATCAGCAGATCACAGTAACAAACATGTATGAGGATCATGGGGCTTCTTGACAAGAGATTTCAGTGAATAAGCAAGCAAAAGAAGATTTTCTTTCCTTTTTTTCTTCTACAAAAAGAAATCAGAGCTTTTTCCTAAGGTGCTGCAAAGTTTTTGAAATACAAACTCCTAATATGAGTCTCAGGTGGGAACTTAATAAGAATCAAAATACTTAAGGTTTTTCCATCCTAGTTTCAGAGAATTAGCAACGCAATTGTGTGACTTCCTGAACTAATTTGAATTGGACCATTAACTGTTAATTTTAGATATTTCCTAGAAGTAATACAGATGAAAAGACCCCCTTCTGAAATTCAGGGACAAGCTGCAAGATAAGGAAATTTGAGACTAAAAGTTAGAAGTTCCTAAGTCAAAAAGGAAAATAATAATACCAAATCTTAGGGACTTTCTTTTGTAGTCATTCACTAAAAATAACTATCTATTTTCACTTTTTAACACAAAGATTAAATGTCGAGTGCCATTCATCAGATAATTGGTCATAATACAAAGGGGACGCAATACTCACTGTAGCTCTTGATTTGGCCAGCCCCTGAAATACTCCTTAATGTCTAGGAACCATGGCTCGTGATAGGCAACTTTTAGGACACAAAACTCAATAGTGCCATAATATGCAAGTTTCCACATGGATTCAGAGCATTTAACAATTTTTGCTCTTGTAGGCTCATCAATTTTCAAGTGGGTGGTTCCCAATCGCAGCAACAAAATGGCTTGCCTCTGTTGAACAAGAATGCATAAGAAACATGGATGTATTATATTATGGGGAAAGAAGTTAATCGGATCTGTCAGTCACATAGCTACTAGTTCTGTAACAGTGTCCAAGATAATTTTTCAATAGTCTCCTTTCACTTTCCCATCATATAATCTCCTACACTACTTTCAAGCAGCTGAAATCAACTTTTGTGTAAAGGAGTGTCAAAACCAATACTAGTTTGACAGTTAAGACTTAAGACCCCACCCAATTCATGCTGCATAAACCTTTAAATCATGAAATTGTAAGAGCACAAGGATGATTGACGTTAACCCGTACACTGATTCACAGAATTCTTCCTTTGGACCCATAAGTAAACAACTTTAAATTTCAAATCATTCATTACTTTGAAGTTTGAAGAGTAAACGGCTTAAGGTTTTACATCTAACTAAAAGTCCGACTCTAAAATCCTCTTATGTAAGTTTCCTAAAGCATAGTGAGTCTTATGTATGGATAAAGGAGGAAGATCACTACAGATTGACAACCAGGTTTAAATAGCCATACTCTGATGATCTTTTTGTCTACTGAATACATAATACACTTCACGATCAACTAACTACAGAATAGAGTAGAATGGGTACAGAGGATTCATACAGTAAATCCCAAATAATTTCGTATCTAGGCGTAGTTGATTGATTGAGAACATCTAACCATTAATAAACGTTGAAGTTAGCTAAAATTAAATGTTAAAAGGATGACCGTTTTATGGGCTAACCAAAGTTAATAACTTAACATGGTACTCGAGTTAACTTTTTTATTGGCTAACCAAGAGCTTTACCCTGATGTTGGGCTCTCATGTTACGTTATCTATGCTCCAGATCTCAACCCTAGGCATGCGAAGGGTGTTAGATTCCCACATTGATCGAGAGTATGGCATGTAATCTTTTTATATGGTCGTGTAATATCATCACCTCATGAGCTACAATTTGAGATTTAGTAAGGTCAAAGGTCCATTTTCTTAACATGGAATTAGAGTAAGCAGAAGTCTTGGATTCAAACACACTACTACCTATTATCAAAAAAAAAAAAACGTCCCTGTGCTCTTGCCAATAAAAAGAATCGGGCGTAGGAGCGAGTTGAAGGAATAATTAAATACTACATAAAATGTGTGCTCTCTAACAATTTAAATTTTAGATAAGGTGGTCACAAAATTCAGCAGATTTAAATCCTTAAAGATACAACTTCTTTCAGGGGCGGAGGTAGAAGCCTAAGTGCGGGTTCGGCCGAAACCAGTAATTTTAGCTATTTGTGTTAAGAAATTCACTAAATATCAGTATTTTAAAAGGCGTGGGCGTAAGGCGAGGCGTTTTACATATGCCTCAACGGGGCGTAAGCCCCATAGGTATTTAGTTTTTAATATTTTATAAAATAATATAATGACAGTAAATATTTATAAACATGTAAAATTGCATAAAAATTGAAGAAAACTATATATGTGTGTGCTTCATCCCCACAAAAAACTAATCAAAACAATCTATTATACGTTACTTACAAGCACAAGTAATTTGAGTCTAAAAGAATAAAGTTTTCTATATAGAGGAACAAAAAAGATGATTAACCTGCAAAGCTGCAATTTGAACTTTGAATTTGTTGCTATGAAGAAGAATGTATTTCTCTTTGTATTTGTAAAAAAAAATTTAATATTCGTTGCTTTTGGGAGATATTAGCAGACTAGCGGACAAGATAAAAAATTGAAAAAACCATGAATTAGGGCTTAAATCAATAAAAAAGATCTTTACTTTTAAATTTAATACTTTTGAGTTCCTTTTTAAACCTTTTGAGTAATTACCAAACTGACTTTTGAGAATTTAGGTATTATATGAAGGACTAATTCAACAAATTTTGTTTTAATTTGAAAAAGTCTCTGGGGCTTACTCCTTACTAAAAAAACGCGCCCCGAACGCCCGGGCATACGCCGGGGCGTACGCCTCTTGAGACTTTCGCCCCACATCATCGCCCCGGGGCGTTTTTGGTACGCCTCGCCTCGGGGCTCGAACGCCTTTTAAAACAGAGCTAAATATGTATAAGTATTAAATTTAGAACCCAATTAGTAGCTCTTAAAATCATCGTGTTCTAAAATTTAGAACCCACAAAGTTGAAATGCTCGCTCCGCCTCTGTCTTCTTTACCCATTTGCTTTAAGAGATCTGATGTGTTTGGTATATCATATATGTCAATTGTTTTAGCGGAAAATATTTTTCTTGATAAAATCATTTTCTAATGTTTGATGAAGATGATTTTTTCCACCAAAAAAAGTTCTCCACTGCAAGGAGAAAATAACTTCTACTCCTCCTATCACTCTTCTACTCTTATCACTTGTGGCAGAACCCATTTTCCTATGCAAAAAAGATATATTTTTAACCAAAGGAAGAAAACTACTTCTACATTACCTTTGGCAGAATCATTTTTTTTTTTTTTTTTTTTTTTTTTTTTTGGCAAACATCCCATGTCTTATTTTATATCACTTGCTTCAACAATTACTTGTACATTGTTGTCAACCTTTAATACTCGGAAATATCACCAAATTATTCCCATACATTATTTTCACCTTATAAGATCGATATAAGTCACCAATATTTACACCCAACCAAATACCGAAAAATAATCTAGAAAATGGGTTTCCCAAGTAGAAGATTTGGATGTCTTTGTAGTTCCTTGTGGTGTCTTTTTTTTTTTTTGGCCTTATCATTAATTAAAACTTATTTACCTGATTAATGAAAAAAGATTTTCTAATGAAATATTTTTCGTAGAAAACATTATTTTTACCGTTATACCACCCTCAGCTTACCTTTTTAGCAGCTCATATATATTTGTATTTAATAAAGTAATTATTTTAACCCATGGTTTTGAGTGTAATATTTTAAATTGCCGTCATTACTCAAGTCCAATCACCATGAAGCAGCTAATATTCCAAAGTAATACGACAATCAGGCCGATTTCATAGTTAAATAACACAATTACTTTGGATACAAAAACAATAACAACCACTCCCTCTATTTCAATTTATGTGAACTTATTTTCTTTTTAGTTCGTACCAAAAAGAATGACCGCTTTCCTTATTTGGAAGTAATGTGACTCATTTTATTTCTCTTTTTTCTTAAACTCCGTATTCGGTCAACTGGGTTACTATGTCATAATAAATTAACATATTTCTATATTGCTCACAAATAAAAGAATCCATGAAACGAGTTTTAACAAACATAAAAATAAGGTTAAAAGCTTAATCAAATGAGGAAGCTTACGCGAAAGATGAATCTGTCAAGGAAGAACCTGGCGGCGAAGAAAGCAAATATGAAGTAAATCGCATACATGAAATCCGGAACGCCAGGGGCAACATCATTTACCCAAATCGAGTCCATTAGAGGATTTCAGAACCTCAATTTTGAAATGGCAACAAAAATTTCCCTATAAACTCACATCTATCATCAATCAATTGTTCCAAAATCAACAATAATGTACAGAAATGAATTGCCAATCATTGGAACAGACACGAATTCGCCTTATTCCCACCCTATTGTTGTGTCAGGCGTATGGAGTAATACAATGAGGAGGAGGAAGAAGAGGTGGTGAGATCTTTGTGAATGGCGAGGGCCGGGGGGGGGGGGGGTTATTTTTTTTTGTGCGAACTAAAGCTTTTCGAAGTTTGTGGTCCTCTATGGTATGGTAACAAATCGAAGAATACGCAATCGTATACGGCTAATGTTGAGTCGCTGACACCGTGACCTCCCTGTCTACAGGTGCAATATGCATATAGTACGTACGATGTAACTAACTTGAAATTTCTTTTGTTTTTTTTTTATTTTATCTTTTTCAATATTCAATACTCCATATATTATGTTTACGAAAAAGTATCATACTTCAATTTAAGATTTAAATTGAATAACAAGTTAAAATTATGTTGTGCTCTAAATGCCTCTCTCTCCCTCTGGCTATTTGATTTCTGAAGTATCAATAAATTATTATGTTATTTTTAAAAGATTTATAAGCCATAAGAGATTGTTTAAATTTATGCACGAAAAGTATTAAAAAAATAATTAGAGATGATCCTGGTTCACCTTGTCTTGAATTATTATTATTATTATTATTATTATTATTATTATTATATTGTCTTGTCTTGGTTTTTACTTATAAAACTTAAATCAACTTAGTCATGTTTACAAAATATTTAAACCAAACCATACTAACAAAGTAAACATTTTATTTGTATCTAATTTCTTGCTTTTAGCCACAAAAAAAAAATTATTCGTATAAAATTGTGAAAGTTGCCATGCTTCCAACGGGTAGCAAGAGTTGTGGTTGCAACCTGCATGAGAAAGTCCAATGCTTGAATCGAAAATATTATTCCCTGTGGTTCAATTTATTTATTTTACTTTTTTTATTTTAGTTTGTGTCAGAACGAATGTCACTTATTATATTTGGTAAGTGTTTTATTTAAATATTTTTATTTTACTTAATGATACTCCCTTATACATATGATATGGTATGTTTAATAAGACTATGAGATTCAAAGGGTATATTTTATATCTTGCACATATTTTAGTTAAGACTACAACATTCATAATTCTTCTTTACCTTATTAATTTTCACGCTAGTCAAACTAACGCAAATACAGTAAAATAAAAGGGAGGGCAACTAAAGAATTAGAACCCTGTAAAACCAACTTGCATTTTGTAACTAAAACGGTCATCAAGTGAATAATGCCGAGGGAGTCTAAAGAGTCAGGTCCCAGTAAATATAATTTGTGATACTTAGCTAAAATGGTCATCAAATGCTACAATTGGGAACATTGCATTAAAACCTCTTCTGAAATTATTTTCATCTTGAAAAAAATTGAAGGATAAATTTTTTTAATGATAAAATTGACATGAGATGTAAATTATGTATAAAAGTAGCTCTGGTAGATGAACTCTACCCTTAGTTAATGAATTCTAGCATATTTAAAATAAAGTATAAACTAAGCACAAAAAAAATATGAAAAAGATACATAAATTTTCTAAAATTATAATAAAAATAATACAAATATATTGTAACAACTCCACCTCTCGCGTGTGATCTGGTGTTCTGACTCATTCTTTTAGCACATATATAGGTTAATATTATTGTGTACTGTCAAAATCGGGTATGGTTAATCGAGATCGGGGGCAGATCGAGGTTCGATCCCAAGTTATATTGAATCGTGACATAAATAGATATTGCCTAGCTCGTGATTCAGGGATCGATCGAGATTGAGACCAGCTAAAGTCGAGACCAGTTAAGGTCGAGACCGAGAAGGATAGAGATCTAGCGAGATTGAAGGAAGCATGTTAAGTCGAATCACAGAAAGCCGAAGAATCTGTGACCGGGCGAGAATTGTGGCGGAGATATCGGCACGTATCAAGTCAAGACTGGTTGATTAGCCGATTAGGAGATTTCCTTCTGTATTTAGAATTGTACCATATATAGAACTCATCTACTATATAAAGGGGGTTCCAATCATTTTGTAAGGATCACATTCACGCATAACAAAGCAATATATTACGTTTTCTCTCTTAAACTCTCTTATTCAGTAGTTCAGTTCTTACTCTTCAATAATACACTTAGTTGGTGCAAGGGCAACCTAGCTCAAGGGCTAAAGCTGCATGATATATCGGTTTGCTTTATTTTACAGTTAATTTCTAACTTCAATTCTCATATTTCTCGGTTTGTGCCAAGTGAAATCACATATCCTTAAAACCACTTACAAATTTAATTGTTATTCGATTTTAAGGGTAAACGATTTGGCACCCATCATGGGGCTAAGGATAATAGTGATTGCCTGGTGCTAATTTTCATAACACACACTGCTTTACACTTGTTCTTGTAAGCATTTTTTATTCCAGGATCAGCATGTCGAACTCTCAAGCAGTACCCACACACATCGACAATGGCCTTGGTTTTCATGGCGAAAACGACAACGTAGCCGCCCCAGGGAATGAAATGCCTCTAGTTGACCTCAAGGGAGTACCAGTTGCAAACCCCATCGATGTCAGTTCCCATGTTGCCCTGAATGCAAATCTAGGCGTCGACCCTGAAAATAGTGTCAGCAGAGACGTTCGATCAGCCGGTCAGAATGCACAGGGCGGCGAAGAAGGCGGAATCAGCCTTCGAATAATATTCGAAATATTGCAGGCTCAACAAGCTGCAATAGCACAACTTCAAAATCAGAACCACGCACCGAGTAGGGTCGAACTCGAGCCATCACACAAAGTTGTTCACAGGGCCGAACCAGTGCCGGGGAGGTCAAATGTGAATGAGTCACAGATCGACCCTGCTATCTTGAAAATGTTTGAGGAGCTGACAAAGCGAATTGAATCGGGGGAGAAGAAGATTGAAGCGAATGACAAAAAAATGGAAACATATAACTCCCGAGTTGATCAAATTCCGGGGACACCACCGATTTTGAAGGGTTTGGATTCAAAGAAGTTCGTACAAAAGCCCTTCCCCCCGAGCGCGGCTCCTAAGCCCATTCCGAAGAAATTTCACATGCCAGAAATTCCAAAGTATAATGGAACTACCGACCCTAACGAGCATGTCACTTCTTACACATGCGCAATAAAGAGGAACGATCTAGAGGAAGATGAGATTGAGTCTGTACTGCTGAAGAAATTTGGAGAAACTTTATCAAAGGGGGCGATGATATGGTACCATAATTTGCCACCTAACTCCACTGATTCTTTTGCCATGCTCACAAATTCCTTCGTCAAAGCACACACCAGAGCGATAAAAGGTCGAGACTAGAAAGTCGGACCTCTTCAAAGTAAAACAGAAAGACAACGAGATGCTTAGAGAGTTCGTATCTTGATTCCAAATGGAGTGTATGGATATGCCCCTGGTCGCCGATGATTGGGCCGTTCAGGCTTTCACTCAAGGCCTAAACATACAAAGTTCGGTAGCCTCACAACAGTTAAAGCAGAACTTGATCGAATATCCAGCTGTAACCTGGGCCGATGTGCATAATCGGTACCAGTCAAAGATTAGGATCGAGGATGACCAGTTGGGGGCTCCTTACGGGTCTGTTTATCCAAACAGGACCATCGACAGAGTTAAAAGGGATATTGACCGGGAACCACTGTCAAACAGAGATCGATATCAGCCATACAGTGGAGATTGGAGAAATAACGGGCCTGGACGCAACCCCGTTCGAATTGATAGAATAAATGATTGAGGACAGAGCTCTCGAGGGCTCATGAGTAAGAGTGGTTTCGACAAAAATGTCGAACCCAAAGAAGCACCACGACTATCGGAATACAACTTCAACGTTGATGCATCAGCTATTGTATCGGCCATTGGGCGCATCAAAGACACCAGGTGGCCCCGACCTCTATAGATTGATCCGGCCCTGAGGAATCCTAATCAAATGTGCAAATATCATGGCACCCATGGTCATAGAACAGAAGATTGCAGACAGCTGGGGGAGGAGGTAGCCCGCTTGTTCAACGAAGGTCATCTTCGAGAATTCTTAAGCGATCAGGCTAAAAACCACTTCAAGAACAGAGATTCAAACAGACAGAATGAACAAGAAGAGCCCCAGCACGTGATCCACATGATTGTTGGAGGGGTCGATATTCCTCAGGGGGATGTATTCAAACGCACCAAGGTGTCGATCACGAGGGAAAAGCGGACTCGAGACTACGTACCGGAAGGAACCTTGTCTTTCAATGACGAGGATGCAGAGGGGATCTTACAACCCCACAACGACACACTGGTAATATATGTCCTTATGAATAAAATTCAAGTTAAACGTGTTTTGATTGATCCAGGTAGCTTGGCCAACATTATTCGATCGAGGATCGTAGAATAGCTCGGCCTACAAGATCAAATTGTGCCCGCAGCCCGAGTACTTAATGGCTTCAACATGGCAAGCGAAACCACCAAAGATGATATTACTTTGCCAGTAAACGTGGTTGGGACCATCCAAGAAACGAAGTTTCATGTGATTGAGAATGACATGAGTTACAATGCCCTGCTCAGGAGGCCTTGGATCCATAACATGAGGGCAATACCCTTGACCCTTCACCAAGTTCTGAAGTTCCCGACATCGGAGGGAGTCAAAACAGTGTACGAGGAGCAACCTGCCGCCAAGGAGATGTTTGCAGTCGATAAAGTGATACCGGTATCGGCACTCTCATCAATGAAGGGATCAGATTCGAAAGGACAGCAGGAGGCCAAATAGCAACCACAGACACCGGCCTCGACTCAATTGCAGGAGCAAGGGATCGACGATGATGACGACTACTAGATCCCTCGAGCCTTCATAATTCCTGATGACTCCGATGCCACCAAGTCAACGGTCGAAGAGTTGGAATAAGTCATACTAGCGAAGCATCAACCCGAATGAAAGGTATACCTGGGCACGAGGCTAACCCCCGAGCTCAGGAAAAAACTTATTCATTTCCTTAAAGCTAACATGGATTACTTTGCTTGGTCCCACCTCGATATGACAGGGATCCCACCAGAAATTATCACTCACAAACTGAGCCTAGACCCTAAATTCCGCTCGGTAAAGCAAAAAATAAGGCCCTAGTCCGAGGTCAAACATGCCTTCATCAAGGACGAGGTAACCAAACTTCTCAAAATAGGATCCATTCGGGAAGTAAAGTATCCCGAGTGGTTAGCAAACGTAGTGGTAGTACCTAAGAAGGGAAACAAACTTAGAATGTGCGTAGA